AAATTATATGATATATTCGGCTGGTCGTTTTCGAGCGCTTCGATCCTTTGAATCGGATCTGCGAGATACGAGAGCGCCTCCAAATTTGAGCTGAAGGAACGGTGAGCCAGCCGAATGCTCGGCAACTTTTCCGAGCGACCGAAGCGCCGACACGGAACAGGATACCGAGGGCAACTTCCGCAACCGCTCCATGCCTCGGCGCAAGCTACCGCCTAATACGAAGAGTTTAACCATGCAATACCTTTCATCCATCCAGCGCCCCCACCGCATGCCCGCCTGCCCGCACGAGAAATGGGACCTTTAATGCGAACGGAACAGCGGAAGTGACTATACAGTCACATGACCGGAAGTCTGGCACGCGTTCTCACTTCGAAGTCAGAGGCATCAGAGCGTCTCACAGCTCTACCAGTCAGAGGACGGCGCAATTCGAAAATCTAAAAGAGCTCTAAAAAAAAACAAAAAAAAAAGAAAAAAAACCGCTTGATCGTATTTAGAGTGCCCGCGGCTTCGACAAGTTGAATGGGCATCGGTTTCTGAGCGGTCTAAGAGGCTGAAACTTGACCAGACCAGTCGAATACTGCAATATAGTTTAGTTGTTTGTACAGCGTGTGGTCAAGTTGTCCTGGATTTGGAGTGTTTTTGGTGCGTTTTCTTGTTATAGCATATTTTTGGCGTCCAAGCGCACGTTTGTCCCTAACGCAGTATTGGCGTGAGCATGGAGCGCTTTTGAAGCGCTCCAAATCCACCAAGAGAATTCTACGTGATTAACGCTGTGGATGATTTAGCCGGTGTACGTTGTGTACGTAAACCGGGTTGCGATGAAGAGATATAAAGAGGGAGCGAGAGAGGAATAACCGGTATTTTGGAAAATAGGGTGGCGCTGAAAAGTATTTTGATAGCTTAGATTTAGAACGTTGATCAGTTTCGAGTCGCCGAAGGGTTGCAAGTTGTGAAAGATGAAGATGATGCGGTTCTTTGGAAAAACTCAAATGGAACCATCTGTGGTAAGCGAACCCAGCGTTTCTTACTTTGAATGTTTTTGCAATGCCAAAACTAAGACGGAATAAATGTGTTTTTTTCGCGTAGTAATAGCAAATTTGTGAAATGCTATAAAATCTAGAAATAACTTTGTTAAGCTTAACGCAGTTGTACATACAGCGTGGGCGAAATGGAATAAACGCATTTTAAACTTACCGCATAAATCGGTTTCTTAACTTATCGCGCTAGGATTTACTACATAGGTGCTCGAAGCTAATGCATTCATTATTTGGGAGTATAAGTTAATGCAACCTCTAGAATCGAAAAAACAAAACAAAAAACACCTTGGTTTGTTGATAGAAAAATTAGCACTAAGCCTCAAAATAATCAGAAAAATGTTTTGGGATTTTCTGGTGTTTACTTCGAATGACACATTTGTGAAATAAAAAGAAAAGAGAATTGGCTTACCTATTTTTTACTTCGCTTGGCCCAAATAACCGCCGGAGTAACACGGAATTTTGATTTTAGTATACATGCAAAGTATAGGGAAAACAGTTTTTCATTTTTCTGGATTTACTCAGGTGAGCCAATCTTTCCACAATTTTAGCGAAAGCTTCCACCAACTTCAGGCACCTCCGTGGTAAATTCCAGGGCGATAAGCTAGGAAACCGATTTATGCAATCGGATTAAAGTGTGTTCAATCCGTTTCGCCGACGCTGCATATCATAATCACCATCACTTTCATCTTGTATATTACATCATCGCATAATCACCATCACTAAACGAGGCACCGCGGGCCTCTATGGTATGGGCTGTTACCTTTCTGCGGTTCCGCGGCTCTCCTGAGCCAATAAAGATTATTATTATTATTATTATTATTGCCCGAGGCCAAAGAAGAACGAGTTAGCAGAACTATGGTGTTCTTTTCACCGCAATACTAAAGTATGCATCGCCGCACACGCAGTCTACGCCCAATTATGCAAGCGGTCCGAACCATGATGTCAATGTTTCACAACTAACCCTTATTCAAAGGTGGGATTTCATGAGACCTTCAGTGAGGAAATCGGGTCCGTTTGTCCGTTCCCGGCAGCTGAAACCATTGAGCTCCGTGTACTCTTGGGCTTTATCTCGCCGGCCGCTATTTTCCCATCGCAAATTTCAGAAAATCACCTATAACTTTTTAATCGGATGACAGAAAACTCTGAAAATTTGGCATCTGGTCTAGAGTTCTGTAGTGCATTATTCGCGTCAAAACTGAAGGTTTGGCAGTCAGCAGTTTATTTTTAATATAAAAATACAACTGTAAATATTTTTTTTTTTTGGGGGGGGGGGAGGGGGGGGGGAGCTTGTAGTACGTGGAAATAAAGCTTGGAAATATTGGAACTCTTCTAAATTATCACTTCCTTCTGTGCCTCGAAACTGGTTTGCACCTTAAAGGGGTAAAAAAAAAAAGAGCAAAACACAAAGGGGATACCGCACTATTTTTGGGGGGAGAATAGGGGGACAATCGCGCTTCTCAGGGGCAGATGCTATCTTGCTGCTGCGAGAAGTATAGCCGCGCGAATAATCGTTCCAGGACTGCGAAAGGTCGCGTTTTATCATTGACATGCTAAATGCAGTCGCGAGAAAACAAACACACAGAAAAACAAAAAGCTTCGCAATTTGTGTTGTGCGCGAAAGATGCGACCTCCTGGTCGGCAGCTTTCATCGTAAAGACAGAACAAACCAGAGGAGCGAGTGAGCAGGCGGAGAATTCCGCGGCTTTTAACATTCAAAAAGAAAAAAAAAGAAAGAAGAAGGATAGGTTACGACGACACAACAGAAGATCTGCGGTTGTTGTCGTTTCCGAAATTTTGCCTTCATGGCTTGGCTCCTGACTCAAATCGGATCGGCTTGGCCAGCTTTGCAGCCAGAAAAATATAGCTCCATCACCTATACAATCAGCAAATATAAGAAATTTTTATTCGATAAAAAAATTAACAATATATTTAGATATCTACGCTAATAGAACATCACTAAGGATTTCTCTACAAACTCTTATTTCACGTACGCTTTAGTGTCCGAAAAAGTCGCTAGTGGCGTTGAGTTAGCTCTCGTATGGATCTGACCTCTAGCGGGTTGCGAGGCTGTACTACAACTTGAAATCGCGGCTCCGCTACAATACACGTAGCGGAGATTGTAGCGGAATCCGAATAGGATAGCTTAGTGGGAGTAACGGAACTATGTACCAAAACTCTCCAATCCTTAAAGGGGCGATGCAACAGTTTTTGTACTTTTGCGCAAATACCGTTAAGAACGGATCGCCGACGTTAATGACCTATGAAACACGCGTTCGTTTTTCACACCACGCAACAGAAGTCACAGAAAAAAAAAATTGAAGAAAAACGAGCAGCGTTTATCCTCTCAACTCGCAGCCAGAACAAATGGCCACGTACTTTGGAGCCTATTATATGCCGCCAATGTTTATCACAGCCACGCGCTAGGGTTGGCAAAGCGCAGGACACGCGCTGAGTTCCAGACATTGTTATTGCTCGGCTATTGTCGTCGTTGCAGCGATTGGAAACGGAACACTATCTGAATGTTTCACGAACTAGTTATTATCACGAGCCCAAATCGAGTCCCCACGCAATGATGGGGTTCAATCTATGAACCGCATTTAAATATCGTCATTGGGGCGTACTGCGATCCCCAGGTTATGTCATCAAATTTTGCAATGGAAAGATCGAATGAAAATGATCTCTTTTGTCATTGAAATTACACCGCAACAATGAATTTTCTTGGCCAGTGGCGTCGCGTGCGAGTATCCTTGAGTCCCACTTGTGCCAGTAAGCTCATGTAAAGTGAAAAACATTCCAATCGAATATCGTTGCTCGCACCTTTAACAGTTTTTCCGTCGGGGTCATTTAACAGTTATTGGTGTTTTCTTAAGTTAAGACGACACAGCAGGTTAATATTTAAGCTGTTGGAATGATTTTCACTTTACACGGACTTACTGGCACTAGTGGAACCCAAGTACCCTCGCAGGCAACGCCACTGGCCAAAAAACTCCCTTGTTCCGGTGTCATACCAAGAACAAAAGCGAGCGTTTTCTTTCAATTTCTCTTTCGCAAAACGTAATGATGTACCTCGGAGGTCACAGTGTTGTGCACACTGCCCCGAGTGACGATATCTGATTTCCATTGCCTCACTGTTTGAACCATATATCATTGCCTGAACACACGATTTTGGCTAGCGGTGATCAGTGGCCCTACAGGCATTCGGGTAGTAGCTCGTCTCAAACCGCTGCAATGAAGACCTTTCCAAAAAAGGGCTCCTGTCCAGTCTTATTTTGAGTGTTCGTACGTATAGCGCGTGATTTGCTCGATTTCGGAAGCGATGAACTTGCGCGTGCTGAACTGAGGACTTTTATATATTGCAACTTTGTATACAGTCGAACCCTAACGATATCCAAGACACGGTGCGTGTCCTGGTTATGGTAAACGTTGGCAGCTTATAGGCTCCAGATCACGTGGCCGCTTGTTCTGGTTCCGAGTTGAAGAGGTGGAGGCCAATCTCCAACCCTGCTCGTTTCGATCTGAATGAGCATCGTCTACCGGCGTATGGTCGTGTATCAGTACTCGTTAATGACCCCGGGCTAGCGGTTGTACCGTACTGGCTGAATTGCTCATGTACAGCTGAAAAACAAGTGGCTCGTAGAGGCAGACTAAGTTGATGTCGTAGAAACATGCACACACCAACTGTTTTGAGGGGGCGGAAGTTGCTCGTTTGGTTTTTCATTAATTTTGTTTCTTCTGCGACTGCCATTTCGAGGGGAGAAAAACTAACTTGTGTTTCATAGTTTTTAAACGCCCGGGGTTCGTTTTAAGCGCTACTTCCGCAAAGTACGAAAATCGTTGCACCGCCCTAGGCTTCGAAAAGCGGCAAAAAGATAAAAGGCAACCAGTTAAGAATAAATGAAATGTCCGCGCTTATCGCGAAAGATACCTTGCATTAGTACGGTCAAGGCATCCTCCTGGGTCACAATGTTATTTTTGTACCAGGCCGTCAATCCCGTCCAGGCCACGGGTGTTCAGAGTTCCATGGGGTACCTGATGCTCTTCAACATGAATTACCTGCAGACGGCTGTCGGGGCACTCAACCTAGTGGAAGTGGCAAGTAAATGTGATATTATATCATTTCTGATATAAATTGCAGCAGAAATCCCACTTGCTAACATCCACATTTCGTTTAAAAAGATGAATGTTATTACTCTTTTTTTGTAAGGATATGTACGTTGTTTTCAAATCTAATCGAAACTAAAAGGAAAAAAAATAAATGTAAAGTACTTTAGAAGAGACGTCATGACCGCACAGTAGTTTTCGAAGTTTATTTCTTATTGTGACAAAGGTTCTAGATATATTTTTATGTTTATTCCTCCATATGGGTGATAGTAGAGTTAATGAGGAAAAAAAATAAACAGTTGTTATATTCTGAACATGTTTTGTTTGATGAAGTTACTTGTTTGACAGTAAGTCTTTAGCCCTTACTGAACTCTCAAGATGCCGGTTGCTTCCTATCGAAATAATTTTAAAATCACCCCATATGTGCAGGTGTATGGTGGTAGATGGCGCTGCAACTCAAAGAATGGCCACTTTGTCTGGTTTACGCTGGAGGCTCGTATTTGAGCATTAGAACGTGTTGTGTAGTGCTTCATTTATTTTAATAACTGTGTTTTGAAAGTTTCAAACTGATAAGGAAATGTTTCACACTTTTTTGGCCGCCTTGCTTCAACCGTGACAGTCTTAAAAATGCTGGAATTGGCTTTCGTACGTTCTTTAATGCATTAATGGTGCTCCCACGTTTGGATCTTGGTCAAATTGCATAACAATACGGAGGCAATCTAGAAACATACATAGTTGACGTGGTACGAAGTTGACGTGGTACGTGGTACGAAGTTGACATGGTACGAACTTGACTGATTTCATTTTTTTTCCAAATTGTAGAGTTGTTTTATTAAGGAAGACTGCTTTGTATAGTTTCTAATTTTTTTTTATAGCAACATTGAAATGACTGAAATGCTTTTAGTGGATACGTCGAAGTAGATAGCGCTCACGTTTTTAACAGTCAGGATTTCGTTTGGTATTCTCCCGTGCAGTCGCTGGCTGTGCTGATATTCAACTCTCTCTGTATCAGCTCCGAGGCGAGTCACTCGGAGTTACTCTTCGTGGCCTCTTTCACTTACTCCGTCACGGGCTTTTATTTCTTCCTCAACGGAGTGTTGAATCGCTCCAGCCCATCGGCGAGGCAACCTACGATCACGTTGGTAGGTACACCGTTCAAACGATGTTCTATTTACAAGGACAACCTCACGTTGTGTGTTACCAGGCAGCTTACTAGAAAAAAAATATCGTAACTTGGCCCAAGTTTGGCTATCCGAGGGTAAGTTACTTGCTCCTACACTCTGACATATCTGCAGTCTATTTTCCCCGCAATACACTTAGAAGTGCCATTCGTTGCAATACTCGGAAGGCTCTCGATGAATGACGAGGTTAAACAAAGATATGTTTACACTAAAAAATAAATAAAAACTGGTCTTCACTGCTGCATTTACATGACGTTTCATCATGTTCGGTGCCACAGAGCTAGGAGACAATATTTTTGGGGGTGTAAACACATGTTCAGGAGTCGTCGCTCGTCTAGCTCTTTCCATATATTGTAGCCACAATACACCCTTTTCGAAAGTTCGTCGAGCAACGTTGGCGGTCGCCATTGCTGGGGCACGAAGCGTGTGATTGGACCCGAGTCCTCGCCGAACGCTGACGCTGCACTCGGGTCCAATACGTGCTCAGTGCACGTGATCGAAACGATGGCGGACAGTCGACGACGTGAACAATTGAAAAGGATCTTTTGGATTTCCTATGTGCATCGTGAGAAAGTAGATGGATCATATGTATATCTCTCTTTTTAAATTTGTACACCAAAAGTATACCAAAAATACGCTTCACTTTTTTACTTACTATTAAAAATATATGCCTAAAATACGCTGAAAATACGTGTAATAATGGAATACATGAAGCACAACTTGAATACACTTAGATGCATGATTTATTTATTTATTTTTTTATTCAAGATACCTAAAAAACCATACATTCAAAATGCGTCTAAAAGTAGTGAAGTAGTAAGCTGGGCGAGTTGGTAAACGTTGAACATGGTTAAAAACCGTGCACAACCGGGGAACTGCGAAAATTTGGCTTTTCTCTGGTGCCACAATCTTCAGAGTGACAAAGCGTTAAGACATTCGTCAAAGATGACAGGAGAAAACCCACCAAACTAGGCGGTGAAGCCTAACCCTGGCCACAATTATTTGGTGATTTAGGAACATTATAACCCGACTCTGCAAAGAATAAAGGTTTCGTTCTACTCTCACTTCTTCGGGTTTTCAGGGTCTTAAATTCCCGGACAAAAACACATATTAGCCCTAAGAACTCTGCTGCCTATAGACTGAATTTTACTGATCCGCTAGAAACGTAACACATTTCAATAATTTCAGTGGAAAATTTCGAGAACATGGGTGTGGGGATCAGTAAGCAAATTTAAACTTGGGAGCCTGTGTCTTAAAGAACTGCAGGGTGCGGTCGATTACGTTTGCGCTTCTTACTTTGTGATTCGTTCGTCGGCCGTATTGTCGCCCGATACTGGAACCTCATTGGCCGCGAGGCGATTCACAGGACGCTCACGGCTTGCCACACCCTGCGCTCCTTAAAATAAAGCAGTTTATATCTCCGCACCAGTCGCGTGGCGGGTGCAAGTTGCACCCCATCCTAGGTTGAAGCATAATTTAGATTATCGTAATAAACCTTCTTCACCTAAGAAACTTCTATCAAAATTATTATAATCTGAGTCGAGTCTTATTCTACTTTGGTAATATACAATCAGCGAGAACCGATCGACTATTCATGTATAATCCATTTGCGTACCTCAGTTTCGTGCTTAATGTCTTAAAAATCTCTCTTATACGTATCATTGGTATGAAAGGAAAACATATTATTTGAAGTAGGGATGATTTTCAATATTGCCCTAGTGAAAAAAGTAAATGGAATTTTTCTGATATGTTTTGGACACATTTTCATACCAGAACTTATTGGGAATTCATGGCAGTTTCATTGTCGCATATCAGTTTCAGCTAGGCTAGGTGGCACTAGGTACCGGCCAACTCATGTGCTACAAAATATATTTTAGTTACTCCCGCCACCATCACACTTCCGGCCTTTATGGAACCTTCGTTATACTCACATGCAGACACATTTACCACTAGCATCTGCTGAACATATACATTGAGCGCATACGCATAGACGGCACCATACGCGATTACTACTTCAGAGCTCTGCGTTTCCGCCTTTTATACTGGTCGTTTTGAAGGTAGGGGTTTCCTCGCTGACCAGCTAAGCAATAAATAATATCCCCAACATGTTGATCTCTTTCCAGTAATGTCATTCCTCTAAGAGTATGTTGATCAGCTCAGGGGATGAATCTCTTAGTAAAAAGTAAATGCTCATGCCGTAATTATTTCAAAGTCAATAAATCAAGCCGCTCCACTGCGATCCCAAGCGACGTGTTTGCCTTCCTGCGAGGCACGTCGTATATTGAAAAAAATATTATATGCATTTATTTCTGATATCACATATGAACTTGTATGCTGCACATCAGTTGGCATATGTTGCATATCAGTTCCTATATTTTGCATACCAGCTCTTGAGTGCTTGCTAACAGTTTCATATGTCGCATATCAGTTTTTGGATATCTCATATCAGTTCTTATGCAGATCCATATAATTTTTTTCAGTGGGGTGGATTAGGTCGCGTGACAATGTCAAGACTTGATTTTTTTCTTCTAAGCCATGCAGATCACGTAATACATTCAATAAAAACGCTTAATGCGCGCTCTGAAAAAAAAGTATTTCTGCAGGTGTTGAATCTCCGTTTATCTTAGCATATAATGAAATGTTGCGTGAACTTTAATATGCAATGGTATGTCTTCTTTACGTCTCAAACAGGTGTCTCAATTGTTGCTCTACCATTCAGTCGGCGGCCTGGTATTTCTGCTTGGTGGCGCATACACACTGGCACAGCACCTCAGCGTTCCTTTGGCCCTCGTCTCTGGGGTAAGATGAACATTTGTTTGTCAATGTTATTGTTGGATGATTAAAACAAAACACACACATAAGGCACGATAACCTCTCGACGTCACTCGTGAAGCCCTCGTGAAGGTCGCGACCTTCACGTGACCTTCACGAGTTACCTTCTTGACGTCATTCGTGATAGGAGAAACTCGGACGTCATTCGTGATAGGAGGAAATCGGATAATACGTTTTCTGGGGATCTACAGAATGACTACTGATCGTTTCGCTAAGAATCAGCTGGCAGTCGAAGGCACACCGTGAGATTTCTTAGCTTTTGTATAATATCTCTTTGTGAACCGACATCTGGTGAAATGTTCTTCAGATAGTTTAAAGACAGGTCGATGTGGCAGGTCATTCAACAGGCAGCGAACACGTTCGGCGGACGAGCCCAAAGTCGTTATCTCGCGTTTGATTTTTCAAAATCAAATGCGCACTCCGAAAGCGAACCCTTTTGAATGGGGACAACGCCGGAGGGTGCTCATTCAACCCGTTTGAAATTTCAGACCAGAGGGACATTGACCATGTTGTCACCGACTACTAAAGTAACTCAGGGCGTGACAAGCCCCGTGCAGGCATATCTTATTACTCCGTACCCAATGGGATTCCATCGTTAGCCGATAAAGATGCCGAGAAATAATCACGAAGCAAGAATTAAGTGTGTGAATATTTAGCCACGTTCTGTGCTTGCTAACGGAATCTTCACACGGGGGATGCTTTTTGGGGACGGGTGTGCGTGACGTCATTGATCGAAGGAACCAGCGGGACCCCTTTCCCCACTCAAGCATTCACACGGACAGCGGGGAGCCGAGAGGGATATGTTGGTGTATCAGACACATTTAGCGCTTGAACATTCGACAACCGGGCTCGGTACGAGCTGACGATAGAAGAAAAATTGAGGCTTCTATGGACTTTCGATACGCGATTATGGCAACAGCGCTGTTTGATGCTAGAAGACGACGAATTGCTTCCCGCTAAAAGAAAGATGCTTCTTGAATGGGTGGGTGCAAAAGAAAGAACGTGGAATAAAAAAAAACAAAAAACAGTTGTATCAGGATCGGCTTGAGAGCGGCCCTGATGAATATCGGCGACTCCTTCGGGTGCCTCGGACGACATGCGCAACAGCGCAAGCCACTACAAGTTACGCGATCCCGATGACACAGCCGGTATCTCGATCAGCAAAGCCTGTAAAATTGCCGAAAACGAGGAAGAAAAAAGAAAAACAGCCGACTATTTTAAAGTATTTTTCCGGGCAGCGTTATTTCAGTCCGAGCAAAGCTTCCCCGTCGCGCTGGGATGTCCACGTCAGCGCGGATTCGCGGGAAAGCATGGCGTTGTTACCACGTGGTGCGCATCCCGGGGAGCAGAGGGAGGGATTTCTCAGCGTGTGACTAAACGGAAGGTGAAGCGGGTTTTATTTTGATTAAAAACACTAGATTCTTTTAAAGCGCAGCTCTTAGGCGCCCGTTTCCGGCTTGAGCGGCGTCACCGTCGCCTTAACCGCGCGTTGCATTATGGGACGTTTCCCGTAATGCCGTTACATGTGACGTAACGAGGGTCACTAGGGTCACTGGTGACGTCACAAAGGTCACTCATGAAGGTCGCGACCTTCACGTGACCTTCACGAGGCCTTCACGAGTGACGTCACGAGGGTCATTAGGGTCACGGGTGCCATCACGAATGACATCACGAAGGTCACTCGTGAAGGTCACGAGGCCTTCACGAGTGATGTCACGAGGGTCACTAGGGCATGGGTGACGTCACGAATGACGTCACGAAGGTCACTTGAGAAGGTGACGTGGAGGTCGCGACCTTCACGTGACTTTCACGAGGCCTTCAGGAGTGACGTCACGAGGGTCATTAGGGTCACGAGTGAATTCACGAGGGAGGAGGGAGGGAGGGGAGGAGGAGGGGGAGGACCAAGGGAGGAGGAGGGGAGGAAATGAGGAGGAGGATAAAGGAGGGGAAAAGGGAGGAGGAGGAGAAGTAGAGGAGGAGGAGAGAGTACAGGGGTGGAGGAGGGGCATACCCTCCTCTCCGTACCGTCCCCTCCTCCTCCTCAAGAGCTGCACTCTAATTCGGCATTACAGGGAGTTGTAAACATCTTCCATTTCTTTTTAAAATACGACTCCAAGCATCACGAATATCACTAAAGGTAGGCTATTGCATGCCCGTATTGCCTAGAAAGGCGCTTTTGAAGTCGCGTTTAAACCACACCGCTCCGCGGCGGCGGAAGAGGGGAGTAAAAGGAGCAGGGATCACATGACGTGACGAATGATTCCTCGCGCGTGCTCATGGCTCACAGAGTCAGCGTCGTGCGTCGTCCATATTGAGCTAGTTGGCGATTCATGCTTCTGAACGATGCCAATTGAGCGTAGGAAGATACACGAAGAGAGAGCGAGAGAGAGCGAAAGAAAGACAAACACGTTGCCGGACTATTAGCGGCGAGATGTTTCGGTGGCGCCCTCGTTTGGTTACCTTTCGTGACGTCATTACCTTGTGAACAACAAGTTCGATGGTGTTTGTAATGGGCATTGTGGAAGTCTGAAATCATTGCGCTCTCAAAGCAACACTGCCAACACCGTCAAAATTGAACTTCTTACATTCTTCTTATTTCGGTCGATGAGAAATCCTTTGCTGACGTCATTATCAGCATTCGGCCAATCGTGGCAGGCCGACCACAGCGACGCTTTCGATCGCTCACGTCGCCATTTTTCTCCACACCCATTAGTCTCATATTTCGGGATGAATGGGTGTGGAAGAAGAAATTTAACTTCAGTAAATGGTTGCTATACTCTATTTCATAATAATAATTGTCTTGTGCTTTGTCTATACAGCCTGAAGTTAGACTGCCTCAACGGGCGACTTGTCTTTCAGCTGCAGATGAGCAATTTAGCCAGTGAAGTAAACCCCTAGCCTGGGGTCTTTAGCGTGCACGACGCAGTAGTGATACACGGCCGTACGTTGGTAAGATGCTCCTCCAGATCGAAACGGGCAGGGGTGGGGATTCTTAAGCCTGGTTCAGACAGTTGCGTTTGACTGCGTTTGACTGCGTTGCGGCAGCGAGAAACCAGGACATCCCTGCTGCTTATATCGCGTGCCAAGATGATTCCTTGAATTGGGTTCCACGCTTCATACGAAGCACAGATGTGCCGGTGACTCGCTTTCGGTTCTCGACGCAACGCTGTCAAACGCACTCAAACGCAAGTGTCTGAACCGGCCTTTAGTGTACAACACAGTCAAATTACTCCTGGCGCGAGCATGGGGCTTGATCTCGTTGATCATTTACACGCGTTCTCGCGCGAACAAAACCATAGATGAAGCCACGCGCTCGCGCCAGTCGCTTTGACAGCGTTGTATAGACGTTTCCACTGTTTACAAACAGCACAGTCCGCACGTGCTAAATCACAGTCCAGCCGGCGCTCGCTTGCAATTGCGGCCAGCCAGGAGGCGGTGGTGCATAACACACAAATACAGCAATGAACGCGCACTCATACGCTTTTACGGAAAAATGTATACTAAGTACAAAACAAAATATAATCCGCGACAAAAAAAAAACAAAAAAAAAACAGAAAGAAAAAACGCCGAATATATTTTTTTTAAATTGCTCCAGTTTTTTTTAAGCAAGCTTACGTACTGACTGTGGTCACTACATTTTAGATACTTGTTTCTTCCTTCGGCGTTCTTACCGGCTAGTGCCGGAATTTCATTGGCTCCAGGGTGATCATTACGCTCGGCAGTGGCCACATGCAATGCTTTTCAACTATACCAAAAAAAAGGAAGAAAAAAAATGGTCAAGCTTTGTGTTCTTTGAGTTGAGCAAAACGAACTTTCAAGTGACCATGATCCCCAAACAAGGCGCAGCCACGGTGTAAGATATATAAAGAGGTGGACATCGGCGGCGCCGCAGCTGCCAGATAAAGTCCTATATCCCCGCTTTGGTTGCAAGTGGCGCCACCAGATGGCTCCTCGATATGCGGCTAGCGTCAACCTTTCACGGGACCGGTTTCCCGTGTTTTTCTAAGAGGGACACGCTTGCTTTTCAAGTAGTTTTCTGGGTTGCGCCACGTCTTATAGAGCTTGGAACTTGCGCTGCGCGTTTTGCTTAGACTCTGCTTCGTCACTGATCGTAGTTTCTTGGCTCAACGCGGCATTAAGCAATTTTATGAGCGCGTTGGAGCGGACAGATCTCTGACTTGGTGTTCGAGCCAGCATACATCAAGGTCAGAGCAGATCGCACCGAACGGAAAGAGCGTGCGCCCGTGTGCCATGGAAACGAGATACACATCTTAGTTTTGGTTGCGTATTTTTGTCCTGAGTCTGGAAGGCGGTGACGCTGTCGGCTAATGCCTGGTTCAAAGGGTGCAATTTTACTTGCGATTTTGCTGTTGCAACGTCGTTTGTGCGACACACACACAAAAAAAAGCGCTGTAGAAGCTGCGGTGTTTAAAGGGGCCCTGCAACAACTTTTTGACTGGTTTTTAAATGGCACCGAAACTGAGGGCAATGAATGTATTAACTTAATGAAACTTTTCTTTTCTCAAATTTCGCTTTATTTTAAAAGTTACAGGCAAATTAAAATTACAAAAACAAGCAAACAATAACCTCCCTCATGACATCCTTGGTCGTGGCTTTGTAACCGTGAACTAGACGAGGGATAGTGAGGTCAGCGAGCGCTCACGGCTGCCGCACTCCGTGTCGACGGCTCGAGAGGGCGCCACTAAAGCATCTGTTGTATAGGCTGTATGAAGCGGGCGGCCAGGGCGGCTCACATTGCATTTGCTGCACGATTAAAGACTAATTCGACATGACACTTCATTGGCCACAAACGACACCAAACACGGGGTTAAAGATCAGTTCAGAACGGGAGCCACATCGCGCTGCCATACCACCAAACGGCCGAACCGCAAGTCAAACAAACGCGTTCCGAGCCTTCGGAACGCTCGGAACCGGTCGAATCCTCAAGCCCTATACGACCGCAGCGCCGCCGCGTACATCCGGGACCTTTCTACGCTCGCCACTCGTTGGTGCCTGATCCCACAACCTCTTTCTAGTATGCGCCACTTTCATTTCTTGCTTCCCTACTTTAAAAGCTGCATTTGTTACTTTTCTGGTCTAAAATACTGGACAGAAACTACATTAATAAATAATTGAAACGGTTCGCACCACGTATACTTCGTATTTCGACTAAACAGAACCTTTTAGCGGCTCTGACCAGTATTAAGCCCAGGACCAAAGCCGTCACATATCGCGCGCTTTCGCGCGTGTCGTTGGCTTGCCCGAACCCCAAATGACGTGGAAACCGCAAAAAAGGTAGACGCTTAAATATGATTGCAGCTGCGATATCGCAAGCAGAATCGCATTCTGTGAATCAGGCTTGAGGCTCCCTTGGCTAATGAGACTTCGCAGCGTCCGCCGTGCTGTGCATCCTTACCTTTATATATCTTACACTGTGGACACGGCAAAACAGGTTCGTTTATAATTTTTTTTTTTTAGGTTGGGGGGGGGGGGGGGTGAGATATTAGTATGCCATATTTGTTATGTTTTGTTTCAGACCCTGGCTGTGATCGACGCAGGAATTCATACCTCGCATGCCGTCTACATATACAGGGGTGACTTTCGGTACTGGTTGGAACAAGTCTGACAACGTGCCTCTGTACACACGGAAACATATTCTTTTACATAGATATGTGTAGTTGAAAAACAAATTAAATAAATAACTAAACAAATTAAGAAAAAAACATGAAATTGTGGAAGTTTCCTTTCGTCTTTTTCATTTTTTTTGTCCCTGGTGGCGAGACTTGATGAAAGTTCCAGTGTTGGACAAAATACTCGATAAAAGTATTTAAGTTAAGTTACTAAATACCTGCTTCGTAAAGTATTTAAAATACTACTCAAGTTACTTTCACTGTAAAGTAGCTTCAGTGGAGTACAAATACTTAGAAATGTTATTCAATTACTTTTGAAGATACGTCCGTATTGCGTAATCTGTATCGACGTCTCTAACAACGACAATTATACAGCTGCGCAAATCTGGTTTACAACAACGGTTTATTAGCACGCAACAAGATAAAACTAAAAAAAAATTTCATAGAGCTATTTTATGCAGTCCAACTATAAGGAGCATGATATTGTCACGAATGACAAATGATGAGGCGGTGAATAACTGAAGAAACTGAACGTTTAATGGGGGCAAACTTGTGCCCAAAACAATAGAGAAAGGCTCGCGTCGCAGGCGTAGATGTCGGCGAAACAGCAAGATCGAGCGCTGTGGCGAGACTGACTCGGGATCGCCAAGTGGAGCACCTTTTGTACCCGCGTGGGTTTCTGGAACATTCGGCGTGGAACGTTCGGCGCGACAGGACATTCGTAACTCGATCAAGTGACAAGTTGCTCGAACATACGAGAATGTCAAGTTGAAAGAACAAATAAAAAAGGAGACCACTCTCTGTAATCGAACCCGGAGCCTCCGCGCGAAAGTTAAGCGCGGTAACCATTCGGCCACAAGTTTTTTTTTTTTTTTGTTATTTGGCCACACGTTCGCTTGGCAACGTTCCGCAGCCCGCTAATCACCCGGATAGCGCTCCGTAATCCGCCACAGGACCTTGAACTATGCAGACAAGGCTTGCGGCGCGCATGCGCAGCTGCGGCGTTTTCTTCACGGTTACCGTAGCGGGGGAGAAAAACGCTCTACTACAATTCCCTAATATCACTAATACATGTGGCAAAACATTTCTGGGACAACAGGAAAGAGGTCCCTTTAGCTATAGGGGAGGAGATCAAACCGTGGCGCCCCAAGCGGTTAACTTTAGAACTACATTGATGGGGACAACGAATACAATGACTCAGCACTCGGCTGACATAACCGAACACGGCGTCAGCGTTCGGCTGGAGTTCCTGTTCTCCGGTGAGGGGGAGGAGGGTTTCTTTCGTTACCACTCTAGCCTGCATGAACAATGCAGCTTGCACCGCGCCCAGCTCAGCACTAAAGCCCTCAAGCTCGCATCCTCTTACTGCTGATTTCGGAGGAGATGCGGCACCTCGTTTATTATTAGTATTCTTCCATTACACTGCTGTGCCCCGCGCTCTAGTAAAGGAGATAACATGAGCATTCCCACAATTCCTGTGGGAATGTGCACAGGCCTTGTGTTGGGTAAACACCGAGGTGTGGCGGCAACAAACGGGTCAGAGCGCCTCGCCAATAGTGACGTCGCTGAATGTCACGTCCTGCGGTGCACAGGCTTAGACGCATCGTTGAACTACAAGCCACATTCCCTACATGGGGAGTTCACTACAAACGAACTTGGAATACGGATATGAGCGAATGGATAACAAAGAGAACCCACATAATAGCCACGGCTGTGGTCGCACCCTCTGTAAATAGGTTGCGTTCAGAAAGGCATTCAACGTTTGGGACCGCTCTGTAGGCATTTTGAGAGGTCATCTAGCTCCTAGTTCGTTTCCTGTCCTGTTCTCTGCTTATCAATGTTCGCCTACAGACACTGTTCGCGAGAGCAATAGGTGACGGACTGACGACAAAAAGAAAGAGACGAAAGAAAACCTCGACGCTTTGCCGTAGCAGAGTAAAATATACAAAAAGCAAAACATTTTTTTTTTTTGTGTGTGTGTGTCCACTTTATATATATTTTTTATTTGTTATTTTCTTGACACTCAAGTCTGCATTGTTGTCGTAGGTCGTTTCCCGGTCTGCGCTGCGCCTCAGTGTGGCTATCTTTACTTCCATAAAACCACCCTTTTTGTTTGAGGAATTTTTTTATTTATTTTTTTTTTGGGGGGGGGGGGGGGGGGAAAGGGGGAACTCTAGGAAACAAAAGGCGCCATTGGGAAGGTGAGGGGAAAACCTTGGTTGTACGAACTTTGGACTGAAATAAGAGCCACTATCGGCAAAAAAGCGATGTTTTCACGAGCTCAATCTAAGTCACCCTAGCCAATCGGAGCTAGCAACAGGATTTGGTTGCTCGAAAGAATGTTCACGTTTGCTCGTGCCAGGCCCACGCCACTTCATACAGAAAAACTCGGAAAATGGCGGAATGCCAAAATGTATTTGAGATAATGAGTACAAGATACTCAGAAATGTAACTGAGATAGAGTATAAAATACTCGATCAAAAGTATTTGCAATATACCAAGATACTTCAAAAGGTATTTTAAATACAGTATCTTGAGTAAAGTATTTGAGACAGGAACAAGTCTGGATGAAACATGCAATGGTTCAAAATAAAGCTTTGAAAAAAAAAAAAAAAAGAAAGCCGTTTACAACTCCTTGTAACGCCCGATTAAAGCGCAGCTCTTGAGGAGGAGGAGGGGAAGGGTACTGAGGGGAAGGTATATCCTTCCTCCCTCCTCCTGATCTCCTCATCCTGTCTGCTACTCCTCCCCCCCCCGAGCGGCGTTGCTGTCGTCTCACGAGGGACACGTGACCCATATGAGGTCACGTGACAATGACGATGACGTCATCAGTGACGTCACTGATGACGCATAAGTGACTATGACGATGCCGATGCCGATGACGTCATCAGGGACGATGACGATGACGACGCTGATGCAGATGACGTCATCAATGACGTCGCATATGACGTCATCAGTGACGATGACGATGCCGATGACGTCATCAGGGACGATGACGATGACGACGCTGATCCAGATGACGTCATCGATGACGTCACACATGACGTCATCAGTGACGATGACGATGACGTCATCAGTGAAGGCATTTATAACGTCATCAGGGACGATGACGATGCGGATGCCGATGACGTCATCAGTGACGTCATCGGCATCGGCATCGCCATCGTGCGTCGGCGTAACCGCGCGTCCCATAATGCACCGCGTGGTTACGCCGACGCCGCTCAAGCCGCAAACGGGCGCCTAAAAGCTGCGCTCTAAATTGAAAGCCGTTTACAATTCCCTGTAACGCCATATTAGAGTGCAGCTCTTGAGGAGGAGGATGGAAGGGTACTGAGGGATAGGATGGAAGGATACTGAGGGATAGGTGACTCCCCGAGGCCACGTGACCTTAGGCGGGGTCACGTGACCTCAAGGGGGAGTTACGTGATTTCAGGGGGGGGGGTCACGTGACCTCAGGGGGCAACCCTCGTGACCCTCGTGAGGGTAACCCTTGTGAGGGTAACCCTAGTAACCCTTGTGAGGGTAACTCTCATAACCCTCGTGACCCTCGTGAGGGTAAACCTCGTGACCCTCGTGAGAGTAAACCTTTTGAGGGTAACGAACCCTGGTAACGTTTGTCAGGGTTTCGAGGGTCACCAGGGTTACTCTCACGAGGGTTACGAGGGTAACCCTCGTGATACTCGTGAGGGTAACCCTCGTGATTCACGTGAGGGTAACCCTCGTGAGAGTAGCCCTCGTAACCCTCGCGAGATTAACCTTTGTAACCCTCGTAACCCTCACAAGGGTTACGAGGGTTACGCGCGGTTACGCCGACGGCAACGGCGACGCCGCTCAAGCCGGGAACGGGCGCCTAAGAGCTGCGCTCTGAAATACCGGGCAATTGTGAAAAAAAAAAGAACCGTGTTTTTTGTTTCTTTGTTTGTTTGCGTAAATAAATTATGATTTCGCAGAATTCTGAAACTTCATGTAAACGTGAAGCCAGTGGTGGTGATAAAATACTAAAAATTGAGAACACGACGCAATATAAATAAAAATAATGAAGGTAAAATACGATTCTTTTTAGCTCGTGCAACACCGTGGCCGTTTGTATAGTCTTCAGGTACCAGTGACTATGTGGAACGCAAGTTCGTCTGCGTCTTGCGCAAGGGTTGCGGTCACGTCAGAACGCCGAGCTCTGATTGGCTCTGATTAGAAGATTATTGGACAGACCTTAATGCCAGCTGCCTTGAGGTCCACCAAAACGTCTTCCAATCGGGGCCAATCAAAACTCGGCATCCATCTAACGTCACCGCAACCCCTGCGCAAGAAGCAGAATGACTTGCGCTCCGCATTACTTAGTTTTAGAAGCTAGGGGTTCCTGTTTTTCTCCAGTCCCTGAACTGCTGCACTCTTCGTCACAGCAGCCTCAAGGTTAACCATTGGACGAATATACAAACCGCAAGCGCACTTTAAACGATCACTATAATGGAAGAAAACAAAAACTTTTTAAAGGGTATAGTTTTACACTATTTTGTTCTACAATCTTTGCACGGCAAAACAAAACGTTTGGGACAATACTTACGCCGTTAGACCCAATTTAAGTGCAGGTCACGGGCCGTTCTAAGCCCCGCCCACAGATCAGTGGCTCCGCCTATTACTACTGGAATGACTTGGCTGCTCGACCGAACAGGCTAACGAGTGTAGTACTTCCTTTCGCGTCATCCGGTGCGTCTGCAAGTCTGGCACCACCTGCTAGTCGTGCGAGCAGACCCGTGACAGCCTCCGACATCGCCTGCTCTACCACACAACCGTTGATCGTCATTTGTCATGCGCAGACGCGCAGATGGAAGCTGCGCGTCGGCGTCCGTTTTCTCCTTCCTCCGTCTGCTATTCCGCCCCCGTCTCAAAACGTCTGCCATGCTTGCGAGACGCGACAATGAAAGCGGCGTTCTAGCGTTTTATCATTCACAAATCACGCTCCAATACAAGCGTCTGTCAGCGTCCGTCAAAGTCAGGTAAAAACGACCGAGGAGACTAAACAAAGTCGACAAATATGTACTCCTTGCAACCTTTCTGTCCCTATTATTTTCAACGTGGCATCCGCGAGCAAGGTGGATGAGTGTCATGACGGGCGCAGAACTAAAACGCGACCTAAAAATATTCGCTTTGCCAGGCCAGGTGCACTGCAAACCTTGAGAGCTACTTTTCTTTCGAAGCAAAATGACGAGAACAAGCTTGGACGATCTTGATTTGAGCCGAAAGCGCGATTGCCTTCAGCCAAATCACTCGCAAATTCCTACATTTGTAGGTATCTTTTCGGTATTGAAACCGGTCGCAATCACAACGTCCACACAATTCACCAAGCAGCAGTGCCGTTTTTACGGGAACCAATATCTTCATTCAGCATCAACATGCACAATGGAGCAGATCGCTCGAGATCAACCAACATAGGGTGGTTCAAGTCACCAGGCTCGATCTAAAATGGACCGTGAAAATCGACGCCCGCACGTAGCAATCTAAACTTTTCATCAAAGGTGCATTTCACAAGTCGGTTTTTTCTTGTAAAATTACAAAACGTAGTTCTCTTTTAGTAAAAAATAGGGCCAAGAAACTCGCCAGGGTCTACGGAGGGCGGCGACCCAGACGACAAAGTCCAGTAGCGGGGCGTGTTTGGTGTTCGTATTGATCGATGGCGTCGGAGCAGCGTCTGAAGGTGCAGCCAACATTACTAGAACCACTCAGTTGGGAAACTTCCATAGAGACAGCTCTGAAAAAGTGCCCCCAATCTGTCATCCACAACCGAGCTAATGACGAACACAACGCCGCCATTTCTCCCGCAGCGGCCACTCGAGGAACTGCATGTTACTTCTATTTTGGCTTTAATCGGCCTTTTTGTCGTCGAAACAGATACAGCTGAAGAGGTTGCAGGGGTGCCACCCCCGTCTCCCCAGCGGACGCGCCGCGCATTACTACCAAAGTTAAAATGCACCTAGGTCGGGACGCGCTACCTGAAAGCACCGCTGAGGCATGGTTGTATAAAAACAATATTAATTGTTCCGCAAAACCTTGCAAACTAAAAATTATAAAAACATCACGGGCCCTTCATTTTGTACTAAACAAAAAAAAATTTCACACAGAAAGAGTCTTTTCCGTTTATTTTTACACAAAAACATGCTTTCTAAAAGCTCAAGGTGACCATAGTACAGACAAATGATAAACAGTGGCGCTCTTGTCGTATTTAGCTCGGTCTTGGTGGACGCCAGCGGCCCAGGTTTCGACGGCGAGTTTCCCAACTGAGTGTTCTAGTAACGTTGGGTGCAGCCGACCAGCGGAAGAAAGCAGACGACACGCAGAGGAAATCCGTTGGCAGCAAAAGCGCCGCCGTTATGCAGACGCGGTAGCGCCATCTATCCATACGAACGCCAAACACACCCCGCTACTGGACCCCTGTCGTCTGCGTCGCTGCCCGCCGTAGACCCTAGCAAGTGTTTTGTCCTTATTTTTTACAGAAAGAGAGCTACGCCTTGTAATTTTACAAAAAAAAATGAACTGTGAAATTCATCTTTGACGAAAAGTTTAGAGTACTACGTGCAGGCGTCAAATTTTACGGTTCATTTTAGATGGAGCCTGGAGACTTGGACCAGCCTATAGTTGAAGTGGGACGCTAGGCCCTCTACCACCCGCTATGAACCCAAGCACCGGCACAGCGTCAACAGCGCGTCCGAAGGCGTGTGCTTGCGACAGTTATTTGCTGCAAACTTGATCGGTCGAAAGGATCTTCGTCTAAACACCTCGGTGAACGCAAAACGACTCGCACTCATTAAAATAGACGAGCTCAACAAGCTGATCTCGTTGATCACTCCGCAGATACCGGCAGCAATGATTGTTATCGTTTAAAACCGAAGCGGAAAGGAAATATCGGGATATTTTTGAAAACAGTAACGACTCTATCTAGATTTTTTGTTCCTTAAACAAAACTATTGTTGATGAAAATACTATTACGGCAAGAATATACAGTTTTGCAACCAGTATTTCACACCTCAATCATCTCTCCAACTAACGAGAGCCAAGAAAAGGTGCTTAATTTCATAAGCACCGGGCAGGTCTACCCTCCTTAAATATCGTGTATCGGCGTAAATATCGCTGAAGCAATTTTTTTCGTGGAACATTTACAAATAAAATCATAAAATCCATCAAGAAACTGATATTTTTCACTTCAGTGTTCCTTCACGCGCATCCTTCTCCTTTTAAGAATATGTGCCCTTTATGTACATTACACATTAAGAAAACCATAAACAGTGTGTGAGTTTTGTTGTTTGCCTCCATTTTTTTCTATTCATCAACTGGTTACATCCAATTTCAAGCTAGCCTTGGGGTTTACCGTGATGTTGAACATATGTCATCTCGCCTCCACTTTAAGACTGTGCGATTTAAAGACGACACAAAGTGTTCAAGGTTAAAAGACTCACGTTTTCGTTTTCAAAAAGGCCCGGAATCAAGCAATACGGTTACCATGACGCTGGCGAAAGTCAGGCCGTGCAAAAGCTTCATTGCTGCCCTTTACTAAAGAAAGGACGTGGGTTCAATGGTGGTGTTTGCACCAGAACGGCGCACTGCCATCCTCTGTTGTTTCGCTCGTCACAGACAACACAGAGCAGTTAGTGACCCACCGGATCATCAGGATTGTTCGAGGATAGGTTTGCTCAGAGGGCAAGTATGTGTTCAAGCGGAGCACCTGATACAGTCCGTTGCGCACCCGAAGAAATAAATTAGCCCGGGCTTTTTTTATGCGAAATTGTTGATCACAATAAAAGCCCTAGAGCCGTGTTAGATTAACTATCGCGGACAATATGAGAGCCATTCTTGCTTTTGTGATTTTTGTGTTGACCTCTGCAAGAGCTTTCGTCCAAACAAGAGATGAAACGCAAAGTTTAAGTCCCATTATTCACACTTTTTAACAAATTGAGAGAAAAACAAAGCTTATGGATAACGCGAAAAATACTTATAAGTACTCGGGAATACATTATTTACAGTTGCCAAGTCCTCGGCAGACCGATAGCTTCTTTAGGTCTGGTTTTGAGCATGTGCAACTTGGAGCAGCTTGTGCGTGTTAGGCACTAGTTCCACACAGGCACGTAGCCAGGATTTTGTTTCGGGAGGGGGGAGGGGGGGGGGGGGGGGCAACCCATAACAAAATGATGTGTGGGGGGAAGGGGGGAGAGAAGGGCCGTGCAAAATGGACAATTTCGGGGGGGGAGCCCGGGCCCCATGCCCCCCCTCCCTCTGGCATCTGATTTAAATGAGAAGTGCAGAGATTAAAAAAAACCTTTATTGGACCAGTGAATTTTTTATCGGATCACCCTTTTTATTCATCATAATTGTTGAGAAGTTGGAACTTAAAGGGACACTGACGGGAGTATTTATGCTTTCAAGGTTTTTATTTGTACATGACATATGAGAGCCCAACTACCCATAACACAATTTGAGGCTTGAAATTCGTTTTCTTTCCGCTCGAAAACAGCAATCGAGAACTGGCCGGTTCGAGTCGCGCTCATTGTCTTCTCCTTGGCCAGGTACCGTTTTCTATAATTTAGACACAACCACCAAAGATAATCAAAGTCGTGGGCCATCAAAGATACACACTCTATACTTGAAAGGGATAGAAAATGTGATATCCATTTTTGTGGCTTCTAAAAGCCACAACAAAGCGCAAATACGTTGATTAAAAAAAGTTGCGCAGTTACTTGATTTCCGGTATCATACTCATTTATGTTTTTTCTTCATCCCTAGTCCAGGTTCGGTTTCGGTATTGAGGAGTTGCATTTTGTGACTTTATTAAAAATATACGTGACACAGTAACAATATATTGATTGGGTAATCTTCTGACACTGAAATAAATCGCCTTGCAGGAAATTGAAAAAAAAAAATTAGAGTGTGTCAATGTCCCTATAAGAAAGCGGAGCGAGTTGGTTGTAAAAATTGTAGGAAAACAATTTTATTCGCAAAAGTGGTAACTTCGATTAACTTCGAAATTACGTTAGCAGATGGGACGACCCGGACAGCAACCTTGCCATTTGTAATGAGGGTTGTGCACGTGGACGCAACTTCCAAAGTTTCTGACACCGCACCTAAGGGAATAAAATGAAACATATTTTTTTTAAACCCTAACCCGAATATATATTTTAATGAATATAAGGTTAGGCTGCAAACAAGCTGGTGGTACTTAAGCAATTTAAAATAAACAAATAAACCGAGACTCCGAAAAAGAAAGGGCACACAAACACAGTGGCCTCTGTGTTTGCCTGTCCTTTCTCTTTCACAGTGTTTGAGTGTTTTTTGTATACATTTTAAGCTCGCCCACTTTCTAGAGTTCTATAAAGTGTGCAACGATTGCAATGATTTCCTAGAATTTATCACGACGTCAAAAATTCTAAACGATTAGTCTGCCTAAGCTAACGAAAAGTGAAGAGCACCTTTTGGTATTTAAATGTTGGACTTCTATAACCCCGATAGAGGAGAGGCGCCGAAAAAAGCACAAGGAAAAGAAAAGACGTAAAGGCTGGTGCCAGTGTTTACGTCTCTTCTCGTCCTTGTGTTTTTTCAACGCCTCCCTTCGATATTGAACCAACTGGTCCAAATTACCATCTTCTATAACCCACAGTATTTAGAAAAGGGCATGCACAAATTGGCGCATTGTAAGGATGAGTGGGGATAAACACCCCTACGAATTAAGCGCTCCTGTTAATAATGCATAAGCATCTTTGTTATTTATTAATGTCAATTTTGAATTTACTGTATAATATACTTTTACAAATATGAGTGTACGGTGTGGCTCTGCACCAAACTCAAGGCCCTTGACAAAATTCTTTTTTTTTTTTATATAAATACCATTCCACCCATACATTAGTTACTTGTGCTTATGTTGGAGTGTTTATATAGAAAGTTGATTTCACTTTTTGGGTTCGCCGAAATATTGTGGCTAATTCCAAGACCGACTGCAACATTTGTTTTCTGGCACGCGGTTGATGATAAAATATGTATTTCCAATGGTAAAATATTTAACTTATTTCTCCATCATCGTTAACTACCACCTGCGTATCACAGCTAAGATATCCAGTGAAAAAGGGCTTATGAGATGTGAATTGATTAGTTATGTAATTTATTCGTTAAGGTCTCTTTTAAAAACGAATAAACTTCCGTAGAACAGGACATGTTTATTTCTTGAAGGAATAACACTTAAGACTGCTTACGTGAAGGAATGCGAAAGCATTCATACACGCAGCGTATTCCTACAAACACAGCGCCGCTTCTTCCTATCGGACATGGCGCTCCGGCGGTGACATCACACTCCCCCACTGCGCATGTGCGGTGAAATCGGCCGGCTCCACGCCTTCCGTGACGGTGCATCTAAGTTGCTTTGCTTTTCTTTGTGTTCTATTCTTTAGGCGCCTCTGCTTTGACCTTGAGTGCCCCTCTGACTTCCGGGACGAAGCATCTGATATGACGCCTAACAGCCAATGGGAACGCGTCGCAGCCATTTTAACTGCTGTTTTTTTTAGATGCCCGTTTTTCGCGATAACAGCCAACGTCGGCTGTGCTTCATGGTAATGCATTCGCATTAAAAGGTAAGCAATGTGTAAACATCTATATCCGTTATGAGAATTCAATTTAATTAAATTGTTTATATTTATTGCAACAAAAACGTATATGCTAGTGCTGGTTCCAGCAAATCAGCGTTTTTTTTTTTTTTTTTTGGTAACCTGAACGTGATTATAGAGAGGTCTTGCTGATGCAACAAAATTCAGGAGGAAAAAAGGGTTATCTTTTTTTTCTAGCCATTGTCACATCTTTGTTGATATTGACATCTTCGAAACGATTAACGTATTACAACAACACCAGCCGTCAATTTAATCAAGATATAAGAATTAGACATGCACGCGCATTATAATAAATTAACACCTGCGGTATTGCCCGATGGCTTCCTGCAAACAGTGAGAATATAAATTACAAACCCTATAACTGTAATTGTTTTAGCTGTTACATTGCAACGCCAGAGTTCACATGGGTACTCAAATGTCTTTATGTCCATATCTTCGACTGTTTGATTGCGGTACCTGCATGTACCTGCAGAATGAACGGTAAAAGAATGCGTTGAAACGTTAATATACATCAAGAATCACATTATAACTACTCATATAACTCAGATTTCCGTCACTTACGTAAATTTAACTAGTTCATTTCAAGCTAAACAATCTCGGACAATCACAAATTTAGTTTAAATATTCTGAACAAAAAAGAAAACTTCCATGGCGGCAACACTGTGTTGTCGCATCCCTCGGATGTGAGTGGAGCAGAAAAGGTCGTGTGTGATGAGCCTCGTCGCGAGTGGAGGAGAAGCGAAAGGGACAACCGCTTGTGGTGCTGCGTCTTGAATGTTCTCCTCGGAACGTTCTCGCGTTCTGAGAATTTGTTAGAAGCACCCTTTGTGGCACGGAAGGTGTTGTAAAATCCCCATTGTCTCGTTAAAAAGACGACGGTGCCAAGAAACACCAATACAATGCCGGGAATGCTTTGTCGACATGGCTTCGAAGGTTTTAGAAAAACGTAGAATAGATACCCTTTGTACCGTAGAAAATGTTGGCGTCTCCAGAATAGTCAACCCAGTGAGGTAATGTTGCAGTAAAGCAAATAAACGTTGATGTGTCTCTGTTCTGCCTATTTTGTTAGGGTGAAATATTTTGGCGTATATAATGTTCTCTCGAAGCTGAGGCATAATACTTTGTTACTTCTTTTATTTATGCATCACGGACACAGCGCCTGATATTTATTTATGTGGATATGAGCTCTTTGGCATGTTTTGAAATAAGCCAACAGAATATGTTCGTGTAAATTGGAATATTATATATCAGATGTCTCTCCAAACAACTGGTCGCGCTTTCTAAAGCTGACTTGCTCTAGCATTGTCGTTCTATTCCATGCCCTTAGAAGCTCGTATCAGCGTTCGAGTGTCTGTAGGTAGCGCTGTATCCGTCTCATAGCATAGCACAAAATGGCTAGGTGGCGTAAGCTACCGCCCGATCCAAAGGGCTCAGCCGGATTCATCCATCCATCCATCCATCCAGCATTTATGGATGACCCGCCGCGCCAGTTTCATGGGCGTAGGGGCGAACCAAGGAAGTAGGAAACCGGGTCCAAAGTGCAGTACTGTAGCAGGTGGAAAAGGTTTGTTGATCTATTCTAAATCTTGAGCCTCCTTTGAGGGTTGTTTCTAAAACCACCTCCTTGTTGACCCTCGTGACTGTTAGCTTAAGCGCAGTGCGTGTTGCGTCTGCAACCTATTATTATCGTTCCTCAGCCAATGAGATCGCGCGTTGAGCTCATAACGATGCCCATAAATGAATCACACTCTTATAAGCGTGAACATAATAATCTTTCAGTGACTCTAGCGCTGGCCTCTTCGATTCTGAAAGAGCTCAGTGTCTTCACAAGAAGTCGTATGACGCTCTCCAGATCACAGTATGGTATTGGGAAGAAAATCATATTTCTATACTTTGGGTGTCTCCCATGCAGAGTGCCCGTATCTGTCACAGCGCAAGTATCAATGGCAGAGCAAGCCAATTTCATGGGCGGCTTGGCTTTGGAAATAGGAAGCAAAGAGGTGAACAGTGAAAAATTATCTGCACTATGTAGTCAAATTACCTGCTACTATTTTCAGATGAAATAAAAATATATGGCGAAAATAACAGTAAGCTCTCAACCTACGCTGTTAGAATTGATCAGCTGAGATTTAATAACGTGGTTTTATAATTTCTACATATTATCGGTAAGCCCTTTGATTTTGGGTGTTCTTTTTTTACCTCTGACCTAATTGATTTTTTTTTCTCGATATCTGGTCATGCATCAAAATCGGCTCCTGGGGAAGTGACAAGCGCACTCGTGAAACACCCGGAGTTCGTAACTTTACATTCCACTTCCGGTCCTCAACAAATATTTCGCATTGTTCCCAAAAGGTATCGGCTTTCTTTCCCAATTTCAAGTCGTTTAAGGGTAACGCAAAAAACACAATATTTTTCAACGCACAACATATCGTTGTGAATAAGAGCAAAACAAATCAAGAAAGAACGAATATGACTTGGGCGAGTTCTACTTACGGGAAGGACGAAACACCTTACAGAAGAAGTATAAAAGTTTTGTTTTCGTTTTATTTTTGTTTTGGTTTAAATTAGGAAGTGAGTTTATAAAAGGAAAAAAGGAGGAGTTTGCTAAGTACAAAGGGTGCGTCGTTTTTAACATGATTGTACCACCAGTGATCTAAGCACCGAATAATATACAGATTGATACCCATCACAAAAGTCTATCATTTTTTTAAACCTTACGAGCGATTTTTATCTGTTGTTTCAATTTTTCTTATTTGGTTTATAGATCTGGCTGATATTTTTCGTATTCCAACTACAGATTTTCGTCCCATCTATTACACAAAAAATCATTTGTGTCCTGAAGGTACTGTAATAAATAATTAAATTAAATATTATATGAAATAATACTTACATTAGGGACTATAATAATTTAAATGTGATTTAAATAACTAACAATTCCATATATTAAATCGCCCGAAGAACATTTCGAAGAGAATAAAAAATGTGTAATACCGTCTTCAAATGAAACTCCATAGTTGTGGTGGTGATTAGCGTCTCCCATGATCAGTGAGACACCTCCCAATGCGATCACGGCCAATAGAACAATTGTCCTCATTTCTGCTGCAAAAACGACCCTGCAAGTTATCGCAGTTAGTAATGTATTTAACTGAAAGCCAGTCTTTCATTTGATTTTAGTTCGTTAATTCTGGTTTTCTACCATGAAAGGGTTTTGGATTTCAGCCAAAACGTACGCAATATTTGGTTACACAAAAACGATCCTTGAACTCCACTATCGAGTCGACATCTAGAAATCTTCTTTTTTTTTTTCGCAAACATCATCCGATCGGAATACACTACCTAGCCACATGGTTGATTGCATTAATGTTTCTTCCTTCCTAGGCCAACTCTCATCGTTTGTGTAACTTGCTAAATGTTCGGGGTGTCACACTGTTGCTACTTTGCTGGTGCTTAGGTTTCTGTTTCCCATTTCGTACACACAGCAACCTTTTAAAATGTAATACTCCCAACGTGCTATTGACAGATGTGTTTGTTCAGCATTTGTGTTCAAGACCCTTTCGAAGTGTGACCACACTCTTGTTGAAATGCTTTTGTATGGCAGTTCTATTATGATCATTGTAAAGATTTAATTGAAGTTTTTAAATAAATAACAAAGAAATATATATTGAGCCAGCCGTCAAAAATCAGATACAACTACATCCGCACATAACGTGGACTTTATTTCGATTGAAGTATGTGCGTATAAAACTATGGCCTAATGGAAAAAAGAAGCATTCATAGAAGTTATAAAATAAAATGGCATATAAGAATCCGTAGAAAAAAACATAAAATTAAGTAGTTTTATTTTCTAATTTTAAGATGTTAGAGACTATCGTCCTTAGCATACACTACACATATACTAAATATACAACATATTAGATGTCGTTAGCCCTGCGTGCTTCATTTATTTATTTTATATATAAAAAATCTCAAAATTACTAACGACAGATGGACGAAAACAAACTCCTTTACTTGCCATCTGACAAAAAAAAAGCATGAAAAACAACCCTGGCCAAACATCAAATTGACCCGTGGGTTCTTCATTAAAAATGCTTATTCTATGTGATATGGCGTTACATATAACATGACAGCAGGTGACTCATAGGGGGGCATATATTTTATTATGGTGAATCTAAGGTTTAGGAACAAATCATTGGCTACACCCTAAAGACTAAGAGAATTATGACATTATTTATCACAACATAGCTTTACGGCATCTTCACTCGCCTTAAATAGTACTGTACAGCCATAAAGTATATTGCCTTCTCAAGTTTTAATGGCTTGCGCACTTCATCAACTATGTGACACCTCACTGTTTGGGCGATTCTTACTTTTATTTTTTCAAGTGCGCGTGTTCGGTTTCAGACCAAGTATATTGCAAGTCATGTTTACAGATCGGCAACAACAATTGCCAATGCCACATAGAGATGCAAAAGTCACAAAAAAAAAAGTATCTTCTGGACTATCATTTCAGAAGAATATTGCTAACACATTTATCCGCATATATTTAAGATTCATATAACTCAGCACTGATTTAAAAGCCGGGACCCCAGTAACCATGGATGATTACTTCTTCTCGGTTACGCAAGTTGCACGTGCTCATTTGATCATTGCAATTTCGGAGCGCAAGTTGGTCTGCTTCGTTTGCAGGGGTTGTGTTGACATCAGAAAGCCGAGCTCTGATTGCTTCTGATTGACAGATAGTGGGTAGACATGAAGGCAGCTTGCTTTGAGGTCCACCCACTATCCTTCTATCAGAGCCAATCAGAGCGCGGCGTCTTTCTGACGTCACCAAAACCCCTGCAAAAGAAGGAGACGAACTTGCTCTCCGCATTATCGTAGTACCCTCTGTTTTACATTAAGTCCGAGTACACCCAACACTAAAATCCGCAGCAGCCAATCAGACAGCGCAAAAAGTGCATCGTCATAGCGCTCATCGCCTCTGTGCGTGTGCTATCACTAATGAAAGCAATCACACACAAAAAGAAACCACGAGATCACAGCGAATTCAAAGTGTGCTTCTTGTCTTGCCGGTGAAAGCAAGCTCATCAAGACAACAAGCTTCGTAACGATGCACTTTTATCACTACAGCTTAATGTGAAACAAGGTACACTAACATGAAACGTTCATGCATGCGGAGGCACAGTGCAGCTGACAGGTGGCGATCTAACATTCTTATCTGCTGTGCTCGATAGATTTTAACCAGAAGAAATCTTGAGATTCTCGTGGTTCGAAACATTTTGTGGTAAAGACATCTCGGTCAATATTAGGCAAAAAAAAACTCTTACCGGATTAGATGTTCCCTTGAACCAGCAGGGTTGTGTTGTGCGAACGCCGTGGAACGATACGACTTGTTATATAGGAGAGTTGTGTGAGCTTAAAATATTCGTCAAACAGGAAGAACAAACAATAGTTATAAAAAAAAGATGTTGCGCGAAAGCAAATGACCTTTAATTAGTCCAAAAAATCTAAAGAGCACTCATACTTGCTTTTGAGTCGAAACAAGCAGCTGTTTCTTTAACTCTGCTATGCGTGAATTTCGAATATAACATTACAGACTTAAGTTTGCGACCTGAGAACACGTCAGTCCTCGCCAATTGTGGTCACCTTTGCAGTGCGTTTGATGCATGGCCTTTCGAAGTCGCTATTCTTTGAGTGGATGAAACGCTTTGAACTTTTCCTTCTTATTTCTTTCACAAACAATTGTGGTCGTTACATCATTCACTTTGTCACTGACCTTCGGCGCATCTGTGCAGTCAAGGGCTTGCAGCTTGCGGACCTGCGCTCGTTTTTTTTAAAAAGTATTATAGATTTCAATTACTAGATGAGCAAAGTACCGTTCCCAATTACGTCTAAAATAATGTATTGCTTTACTTGGTACGGTAGAAATTGCCTGCCCATTCCTTTGCCCGTATAATTGTCAACACAACCCTCACCATTGCTACAAATTTAAGGTGCTATTTTTAATATTTCAATTGAAAGTATGGCAATCGTATTTGACATATCCCATCATTGCGTTTCTTGTAGTATTTGTATAACAAATTTGTATACACAAATAAAAATAATGTGCTATGCTTCTTATCAGTTGTGTTTAGTGTTGGGAAAAACAGACGCCAGCGGGCGCAAGTTCGCAGAAATTCGACAGCAGTACGGGTAGCACAGTTCTCTTGGCCCAAATATCTATTTGTTTGTGAATTTTGGGTCTTAATAAGCCCGGAAAAGTCCAGGTAGAACCAAACTTGACCTTTTTGGCCCGAGTATGGGTATCTTTGCCCTAAATCGTCAGGCAAATATCAAGTTTAATCTTCACTGCCTGGTAGTTTTCCGCACCCTTGTGCCTAATCGACAAACAAGTGCCAAAGCTAGGCTTCAGTACTAATCATTTATGTTTTATGTGGCAACTTTGGGACAAGATTGCCAGGAAAGCGCTAGAATTAGGCTGCACTGCTGGTTCCTCGATTGATGTGTGGAATATTTTCCTGAAATTTGGCACTTTGGCATTTATATGTCAGGCCAAAGGAAAGCCATTAAAATGCAAAAGAACAGATTTTTCGAACTAACCCCTTGGAGCAAAATCATATTAGGCCCCAACAATTGGCAAACTTGGTCCAAATTGGACGTTTATCTGGGCATAGTCTAAAAACAACTGCACGTCAAAGCTTTTATTTTTTTTTTCAGAATGTTTACGCTTGTGTTTATGCCGCTCTTGAAATTCTAGTCAATTCTCAGACTGAGTATTGACAAATGATAGATCCAAAAATGGAACGCAAATGTTTACATGTCACAAACACGACAAAGTAAAAAGAAACGAAACGGTAAGTCATTACACTTGCGACACTCGCGACAACGCAATGTCTTAAGCTTCCGAGCAAAGGAGATACAACTAGAGCCTATCATCGGCCATTGTGCAAGCTTAGTTCTTTATACTCCGGTCAAGTTCTACACTCTTACCGAGGCAGGAACAGGTGCGAGCTATGAATTATTAGAAAATTAAGAGTGGGTTACTGGATGGATCACGGAATTATATAATTATTACAATCTTGCGCGGGTCGTTCTCGTTTAGTGGTTGCTTAGCCGCCTGTGGTCATATTATACATGGTGTTCGTCCCACTTCCGGCCGTCAAGACCGGGGGAGGGAGATACTTCCGGTTCTCCCATGTTTACCTTGTGTTTGGGTGGATGCGCGGCGACTCTTGGGTCACTAGCGAGCAACTGCGCGAAATCTGCGCTTTAGAAATGCCCCAGTCCCGTGCTTTTAGGTTGACAATGCTCACCGGCACGAACAAAATTTCGCAAATGAAGTTCTTTCAATTCTCTCGCGACGAAGGACGCCACTGACGCCGGCGAGCTTCGGTGATCGCTGCTAAGCAAACGGTGCTTGCCTACTTCGTTGTGCTGCCGACAGATGGCGCAACCCAACAAACTTGAAGATTACTGACCCTAGCGAAGATGCCACGCCAGCGTCGCCTCGACCGACTAACAATGACAGATGCAAACCGGGCCTTTAGGACAAGTGTAAATGCAGGGTGACATGGTGCTCTGGGAAAGAATCCTTGAATGCCAAAGCAAGGTGGTCAAAACAATAAAAAGTTGGATGTTATAGAGACTAGCGTAGCGCTGAAGGAAGCGTAATCTAACTCTGAAGATTGTGTGCTCAAACCAGGACCCAGCTCGGTGACCGTATGCGAAGAAGCTCGGCGCGTAACTTCGGCACCTGGGGCAGGTAGGGGCCCCTCGCCGATGCCTTGCCGTTCACGAAGTAGTTGACACTCAGGTATATGGACCTGGTGGCTCGGATAGGTAGTCGTGACGATCCGCTCATGATAGCTTGGGAGGACTTGTGGGGGAACTGCTCTTTCTTTTCACCCAATGGATATAGGAGGCATATCGATTCAGTATAAGTAAAATCCAGCTGGTACCGCAGTAAGTTATTGGCTGTGAATCTTTTAAAGTAATCTATCACTGCGGGTCTTAAAAAACAGCAAAAAGAATGCCCAACCGGAAGCAGAATTAACATCGGAAGTGCGGCCATGTTTGTTTTTGGTTACCTCCGCACATTCTGCGAATACGAAAACGAAAGTAAAATTAAATATTCACCGACAGCTTAAGGAAAAAGGGGCGTGGCATATTACTTTGCTACCTGATTCGTTATACGACTGTGTTCTCGGCTAATGCGAAAATTTCATTGGCTGTGGAGACATAATGAGATGCTTGGGACTTTCCACGCCACAACGCAAATGAAAATTGTAAATGGTACTCTCAATATAATTACATCTAAATAGTGAATTATTACAACCAATTCATTACTTCTAGCAAATTACTACCGAAGTCAGCTTGCAGGGTAGTGCAAGAATATAGTATTATCAATTTTTCTATATGAAATGTTGAATGAATATTAAGAGCCCTACCGAACACTCTTAATGAAGGGCATTTCTCAATTGAAGAAACTGTACACAATATAATGAAAAAGGGTAACTTGCTTGAAAATTAGATCCACGGGGATTTATGCAGTCAAAAAGAAAATATACAGGTTAAAATACATAAGCTGCACATTAAAGCTGGTTTTTTTTTCCTTTGTATGTATATATATATATATATATATATATATATATATATATATATATATATATATATATATATATATATATATATATATATATATATATATATATATATATATATATCGAAGATTAGGAGGCGGTCCAAGAAAGGAGTTTGTAGGTCAATAATTTGGTTCATACTCTTTATTAACGTAGCACGCACTCAAAATGCGGATGGTGTGGCATTTTATTTGAAATCCAACATGGTCAAGTTGGCTTTTTAAGCTGGCTTGAAAGAAAAAGCGTGTGATTGTGCGGTCTTTTGCATTAGCGGAACCGATTCTAAACTAGAAAAAAAAAACTTAAAGTAAGAGCAATTTGGGAGAGCAAAAATAAATTGCTACGCAGCAGTATTTTTCAATTCTCCATTAAATTTCGTTCTTGACTTTCGTCGTCCTTTACAATGGGCTGTAAATTCTTATTTAGGTGTCAAGGAATGGTTTTCGATTAGTCTGAACTTTATTTTTACATAATCGCAGGCTTACAAATCACAGCCTGCCTCAAATTTGGAGTGCTATAGAAATCAAACGGTTCAGTACTATGACGCAAAGCAACTATCAGTAGCTAGCTCTACGAAATTAAAGGGCAATATCTTGAGTCTTTTGAGCTCTTCAGCGGAAAGAAATTGTCGTGTTAATTCTCAGATTATTCTTAAGCCATTATTTGATGAAAGTGTTAAGGGGTACAAACTTTATTTCAGCAATTTCGTAGACAATGTGCGAAAATGCGAAATCTTACATATTATTTTTTTTTTTTTTTGCCTTTGATCATAGTTTGGAATATACTTCTTATTCTGAGAAGGATAGAGCAGGGTAGTGGAAGCCTTTTTTTGACATGCATTAATGGTCATTCTGCTAGTAACGTTGTGACGACGTAAGCACATTCTACAGCCAGAGGCTTAGATAATTTAAATGTGTGAAGAATAAACCAAAAATGTATATATATATATATATATATATATATATTGTGGTATTTTCGACCATAACAACTGCCATATAACAGCCTCAAAAGGAAAGAAAAACATTCTTTTTTTAAATATTTTTTTATATATCTAGTTGTAACTTGCATAAACATGTGGTTCATAAAATAGTTGATAAGTGCATTACCAACATGAAAATACACCCTCATAAAAACCTTTCATCCGTAGCTATGAAATGATAGTTTTTTGAGGACATGACGCTAATTGCTTATGTAGCTATCGCAATGCGAATTCGAGGCAAACTTGCTGTAGGTTGCAAGTTTGTGATTTTTGTAAAACAAAACTCCACATTAAATTGAAATGTTTCTGTTTAGAAATTGTTCGTAATATTTCAGGATACATAAATAAACATAAGCAGTATGACTGAAGTTTTAACTTGTATTAAAAAGACAAAGTGGAGTGAAATAGAATTGACATTTTGAAACATTCCACAGCGTGGCGCCTTACATGTTTCTAATCTGAAAGGCTATTTTGTTCATCTTATATACCTGGTCAGCTCATACTATTTCAAAGCGAATTTATGAAAACGGCATACTCAAACTACCCAGTATATGTATTTTACCCGTACTTCTAGATATCCCTGGCATTTTTATTTGTATTTTACGCTATTTTTACCTTGACTTTATGAATTAAATTAGTATGGGCAAAAATTCAGTACACGAAGTCGTCAGAAAACTTAGCGTTTAGATTGCAGATCTATATTCGAAACATCTGAACGCGAATTTTCATTTCAATTTTTTTCCGAACTAGACACACAGACAGTAATGCTTTCTCCCAGTTACGGGTATTTCAGACATTCGATATATGCTATAATGCATGCGTATTTATACATCCGATATTCAATTTCAACATGGCCAGTACAGTCGTACTCTACCGGGCAAATTGGACTTTTAGGGCAAACATGTGGTACGCTTTTTTAACAGAGCTAGCCTCTTGCTGTTAGACGCCTATAAAATTGATTTTGACTTTTCCATTTTTGATACCTTTTGGGGCCAGCAAATAATACATTTTATTCATGCTACTCGCACCTTTGAAGCTGTTACACACGTGAGGAATATACCTAACCAAATCAGAACTCATTTCAAACAAAAATTATTGAAATCAATAGAGTAAATGGGATAATACAAGGCTCTCTTCTAAAAAAATATTATATATTGACTAAGAAGAACCTACATTTTTGGTAAGTTGCATTTCAGTGAATTCAAAGCGTGTTCTTCTGTCAAAATAAAAAGCTGCATTTGTTACTTTTTACCGATAATGATTATATTTTATTTATTTTTGGTCGTAACCCTAACACGGAAGAAAACCCTTCGAGTGAATAA